TCCTGAATGATAACGAGTCCCTAACGGACCGAGTTCTGTCTGATTTCTTCAAACTGTAGGTAGAGTTAGCTGTATGTTAGCTGCTGTTTGCTTATACCTATAGACACAGAATCTGTTTAAAACTGATACAAATCAACGTTTTTCTGCTTTAATTTATTTCTCAGTCATAAACCATATAAAACATCACACAAGTGGTTGGAGTATCATGAAAACAAACACTGTAAACAAACAGAACAACCTGAAGGCCCTTAATGCTTTTTTATTAAAAATATATATATATTTTTTAATTTCAAATCTTTGTTTTACATTAAATTATCTAAGGAAAAGCTTATTAAAGGGGCTGCAAGGTGATGAGCACAATCTTCTGATCTGTTGGTAATTAGTATAATAGGCAAACAAAATCACGCTTCCTATGAAACATCTACAGACTTAATCCATCTGTAATGCCTCCATCATTGCATCATAACCTCTTTTTTTATTCATTTTTCTCAGTTGCTCAAGAATCTAATAAAATACTAACACTTTTGTGGAGTTATTTTTGCTATATCTATCTTAAATGTAAAATGTTTCACCTCAGAGAAAACATCTATCCAAATTTATTGTTCTCATAGTCACAATTTGTAACTTTTAAATGATGTAAGGAAGAATTGTTGAGTAAAGTGTAAAAGTTCGGATCGAATACTTTACGTTTCTTTATTTAGTTCAATTTTTTCCTCATCTAAGTACCCCAACAAGACGTTATAAATATTTCTGACCAGAGCAAATTCAATGTGCTGGCCTAATGATTCAGTAAAACAAAAGAGAGAGACAGGCGATGAAAGGTAACGAGGAGCGGAGGATGTTTTGATGTGTGGAGCAGAACGTACCCAGCAGGGCAGAATTCATCTACTGGGCAGCGTGACATGAAACATGTCCAGTCAGATGATTGACTGGACATTAGATGATTGCAGCAGTACAACACAAAGCATCTTAATGGGAGATGTTTGGGTCCATTGATCACATTTAGAGAGGCAGAGGTGAGAAACCTTTCTGCTTTGATTTGACTCGAGTCATGTGACTGATCATCTCTGCCCAAACAAAAAAACACGTGTGAGAGACATATAGGTAAAAAAATGTGGATCATGAACAGCAGGCACAGTTTAACGCAATAATTAAAATGGTCACAGTTGCATATAGTGTTTAGTTGTTAAAGTTTCTTCCTAAATGCAGGCAGGCCTGAGGCAGAAGCGGCCCTGATGAGGAGTATGCGTCCAGGAAAGAACACCACAAAAGCTACAATAGAATAAACGTGTGAAAATAGCAATTTACACACCTGCCGTGTAGGCAATTAACCAGCTCAGTAAGTGTTGTTTGGCTTCAACCTTATGTCTTTTGTCCCTGCAGCTCTGCTTAAAACAAATAAATAAAAACAGGCGTAAACATATCCATGTCTAACTACTGCCCCCTTGTGGTCAAATGCACTCATTGTTTTCATTGCTGCACTGCAGCATGGCTGCCTCCCTCTCTCTAAAAAATTATTTATTTTTAGTTCACTTATTTGTGAGATTGTCACTGTTCAGAAGAATGTGTTGGAGAGATTAATACAAAAGAGTTGTTTTCACATATTCAGATAAAGGTTCTAGTTCAAATTGTATTTGTTTGTCATATGCAAGCTTAAGACAGAGTTAACAGTACAATGAAATGCTTAGGATGAGAAGAGCAGATTTGACTCGCTAAAAAAAATAATCAAAGAACAAACCAACAAGAAAATACAAAAAAGCATGCAATAAGTGTACACGGAAAGAAAGGTACCAAAAAGTGAAAGAGTAATAAATTAAAATATTTACAATGTCCTAAAGAGAGATATTGAGCAACAGCATGGTAGAATATAATGGTGCACCAGGATGAATTTAAATAAGTATTTTGAGGTAGTAATATAAGCTAAAATGCACATGCCATATATATATATATATATACTGCAAATAATCAACATATACCACATATAGATTATTGCACAGGTAGTGACGTTGAGGTTGAATTATTAGTTAGTTATTGCCAGTTGTTCAGTGTTGTTTATCAAGAGTTCAATAATCTGACAGCTTGTGGATAATAATTGGCCTTTAGTCTTTTTGTGTGCAATGACCGCCTCCTGTATTGTCTGCCTGAGGGTAGTAGATGGAAGAGTCCTTGTGCTGGGTGAGTGTGGTCCTTAATGATGCTGCGTGCTGTATGCAGACATCGGCTGTGGTAGATCTCCTGGATGGTGTGGAGACTGCTATCAGTGATGTCCTCTGCTGTTTGCACCACCCTCTGTAGAGCTTTCCGGCTCTGGTTGGTGCAGTCCCCGTACCACCCCATGATGCAGCCTGTCACCAGGCTCTCCATGGTGCACCTATAAAAGTTGGTGAGGATGCTGGTGTTTGTGCCAAACTTCTTCAGTCTTCTTAGGAAGTGAAGTCTTTGTCGGGCTTTCTTGACCACAGAGTCTGTATGTAAAGTCCAGGACAGATCCTCAGTAATGTGAACGCAGAGGAACTTGAAGCTGCTGACCTGCTCCACCTCAACGTTGTTTATGTTGATGGTGGAGTGCTGGCCTCCACGTTGTTTTCTGAAGTCCACTATCATCTTCTTTGTTTTGCTGACATTTAGAGCAAGGTTATTTTCCTGACACCAGCTGGTCAGTGATTTCACCTCATCTCTGTAGGCACTCTCATTGTTGGTGATGAGGCCCAGGATGGTGGTGTCATCAGCATACTTGAGAATGATGTTAGAGCTGTGCTTGGCGGTAGAGTCATGTGTAAATAGTGAGTACAGGAGAGGACTGAGTACACGGCCCTGAGGTGTACCGGTGCTGAGGACTAGTGTGGAGGAGAGGTGACAGCTGATTCTCACTGCCAGTGGTCTGTTGGTGATGAAGTCCAGTATCCAGCAGCAGATGGACTTCTCCAGGCCCAATGTGGTGAGCTTGGAGACCAGTTTGGAGGAGATTATGGTGAGAAGAAGGTGAGAAGCTCTTTAGATTTGTATGCACGACCTGGAGAGAAGCATCGCAACCCATTTGGAGCTGGCTTTGATCTAATGCACAATTTATGTGGGCCTCATTCATAAACATTAAACTTTGTCATAAAGAGTTGAAAAATAGAGTTCAGGCAGGATGGAGTGGATGAAGAAAAGTTTCAGGAGTGATTTGTGGCAAAAGGGTGTCAGCAAAGGTCAAAGGAAAAGTTTACAAGACAATGGTGTATGGACTGGAGACAGAGACATGGACAAAAAGACAAGAGAAAGAACTGGAAGTGGCAGAAATGAAGATGTTGAGGTTCTCCTTAGGAGTGACAAGGATGGATAAGATTAGGAATGAGATCATCAGAGGTACAGCACAGGTTGAACAACTGGGAGATAAAGTTAAAGAGACCAGACTGACATGGTTTGGACATGTCCAGAGGAGGGACAGTGGGTATATTGGTAGAAGGATGTTAGAAATGCAGCTGCCAGGAAAAAGACAAAGAGAAGATCTATGGATGCAGTTAGAGAGGACATGGAGGTAGTTGGAGTGAGGACAGAGGATGCAGAGAACAGAGTGAGGTGGAGGAGGATGACTCACTGTGGAGACCCCTGAAGAGGGAACAGCTGGAAGAAGAAGAACAATAATTAAATAATTCAATTACTCTACTCTTATTATTTATCAGATTTCAGAGCATGAGAGTCTAATCTGTTCTTTCCAGGGAGCTTTTCTCACACATATTACTCCTAAATGAACCAAGTTTGATAATAATAATAATATTAGCAAACAAACAATAAAGCAACACAACAAAAATTAATCAAACTCTAAGAATTTCAGAACAATGTTCTGAGTTTGAGTGCAGCGCTGCAGTGGCTCAGAGGTCAGTCTCATAATCCTGTAGTTGCAGGTTTGAGCCTAGCTTGTGTCAGGAAGAGCATCTGAAGTAAAACATTAACCAAATCTTTCTCACTAATCTGCTTGCTGTGGAGCACAGCCAAATGAAAAGCAACATTCTGGGGTTTAGCAATAATGAATTAAACCCAAATATAAAATGATGTAGGGAATATAACCATTTAGAGGAAGTATTGATCTGAAGAAGGACTCAAGTCTTTAGAACAGGTTGTTTTCAAATTAGGATGTAAATTAGAGTTTTTGACACGCACAGTAATCTGGACAAGTTTCGTTAAGTATTTTCACTTTAGACGTCCAGGGCTTTGGAGCTCGATGGTCGGTGCTGTGGATCGAGGCTGTGTGACCATCTGACCCTCCAGCGGAACCAGTGAGAGGAGGCAGGTTGAGGCCCCAACGTTGAGGTGCTCTTAAACTCTTCATCTGATGGAGATGAAGTACAACGCAGCATCTATGAGGGATTCTTTAACTAGATTATCTTTAAATTACAAATTGTTCCCTTTAAGCTTTCCACTGCTAGACTTAGATTTAGACAAAGCATCCACTTTTAAACATCTTTATTCAAACAGTTACATTTTATTTAAAATGTCTTTTCACAGAAACTCTTCCATCAGTACATGAAAGTACAAATTACCAGCCTGGATTAAATGTGTTCAAAGCAAAGCTGAGCTTTTTTACAGATTGGTTTTTAAAAACTCTTTTCCGTCAGCACCATTGACCATCAAAAGCAACACTGTTGGTGTGTCCTGCAGTAAGTTTTTATTATTTTTATTGTTCAGATTTTTCTTTAATTAACATTAAACTACAAATACCAGGGAGGGAAATATCCCTGCTAACAGTTTATATGCATTTAATTTAGCATCCTCTCATTATCTCAGTCACTTAAAAACTAATGGAGGAATAAACCTGTACATTTGACTATTAAACATAAAAATAAAAGACAGGAGAAGTGACTTAAGCTTGTGGATGTTAAACGTTGCAGGAGCTCAGTTGGTGATTTGTGTTGTCTCAGAGATGGGTGTCCCTGCTGGCTTCCAGGACAGGAACACAACTTCCTGTGCTGCGGCGACAGCTTCGGTTTATTCTCTCGGGCTCTGGTTGTCGGTGCATCATGGACAGGACTTGTGTGGTGTCGACCCACAGGGGACCCCAGCTGCCACAGTGCAACACCTCCACCTCCACCCTGGCCTTCAACCAGCGTTTCACCACCACCGCCTGTGGAAAACTTCTCCTGGCTGAGATCGTAAGTGGGATTTTGTGTTTTGTTGTTGAACACTCAGGAAATCAAACTGAAGATAAAGACGAGGCTAAAACAATCGGCAAACATCAGGAATGAGCAGACGTTCTCATGTTTGAGGAAAAACTGTCACTTTCGAGAAATAAATGAATGCACAGCTACAGATGAGCTAAATGAAAACATCAAATAAATTAACTGAAACAAATCTTGATGTGTTTTCTTAAGAATGAACTTGAAATTAAAGAAATCACTGAAAACTCTAACCTTGTTCCTGCCAGAGTTGGACAAAAACTAAGAGTTTTTATGAAGAAGGAAGTTCACCAAAAACAGCATGTAAATCAACTCTTCCTCCTTCTTTCCCTCATTGTCTCTCTTCCTTTTCAAATCAGCTGAAGGACAAACTTGTGGACAGCCTTTCTTGAAATCCAGTCTGGCCGGCTGCCATGCTGGACAGAGCAGGGCTGATGTAATCTGATCCAAAAGCTGCAGTTTCTACGTACTCATCATGAGCAGAGAAAATTAACACAACTGTAAAAACACTACATTGAGCTGTAAAGCCTAACTTCCATCAAACTGATTTGCGCTCTAAAAACAGACTTTAAAAATGAATGTTATGAATCTGAAACCTCCTTTTTCAGTTAAAAGAGCCCAGCCGGGGTAATGGACTGTTCACACCAGAAAACAACAATAATCCTTCAGGAAGCTTTCAAAAAAAGGAAGGGTGGTGTTTAGAGCATTGGGAAGGAGACTGTGCTGAGTGCAAAGTAACTGATTAAAGACAGTAGTTTCCTGAATGAAACATTGCGTTGTGTGTTTTATTTAATTATTTTCGTCCCCTCCTCAGGTTTGTGGTATGATGGTGTGGATTCTGATCGGAGGCACAAACTATTTTCATCTGTCTGCTCTCTGCTGGGTGATGTTTGTTTCCGTCCTCTTCTGGATTTTGACCGTGTGTCTGTTTATCATTTATCTGACCGGAGCCTACAACTGGACAACACACATCCCCTGGACTACACTGGTAACACACACACAAAATACACATTTAACACAAAGACTTTATAATCCATTGCTCGAACTCTTTTCGTTCTCGTATGTTTGAGTACTGAAAGTGTTTTCCTTGCTTGTGTGATTTCCAAGATGTAATCTACTGGATGTGTTTGTGTGTCTTCCAGTCTCTGTGTTTTAACTGCAGCGCTGCTGTGTTGTACCTGGTGACAGCAGTGATCAACGCACTCACTGTAAACTGGGCTGTTCGGGGGCGACACAACTACAACTGTTGGGTAGCGTCAGCAGTAAGTGTTTAAACCATCTTGTAGCACAAGTGTGCATTTAAAATATTAATTAGAATACGTTAGAGAATGCTGCTTGTTTTTCTTTTTTCACACATCCATACAGTTGTCCAGCCAGCCACTAGGGAGCACAAGCCAGTTTGTCTCTGGTACTGGTCCCAAGCCCGGGTTATTGGTGAGGATTGTGTCAGGAAGGGCATCTAGTGTGAAACACTGTTGCTAAAACAAATATGCAAGTTCATCCAAGTGATGCCGTACTGGATTGGCTGAGGCCTGGGTTAACATAAACTGCCACAGGCACTGTTGACAAACAGGGAAATTGTGTTACTGTTGGTCGAAAACCACAAGGAAGGAAATGTGTCAGGAGACAGAGGGAGAAGAGAGTGTAGGACTGAGGGTGACAACTCTAAACATAGAGACAATGACAGGCAAATAATGAACATGTACTCAAACACATGTTCTCCTCCACCTGTTCCCTGTTCTTGGATCACAATGTCATCTGTAAACGTCATAGTTCCTTCCTGACCTCATCTGTTAGTCGGTCCATCACCAAAGTAACCAAGAAGGAGCTCAGAGCGGCTCCTTGATGCACTCCCACCTCCATCTTGAAGCTATCTGTTACTTCTACATCACATCTCACCACTGTCCTGTTGTCCTCATACATGTCCTGTACCAGTCTAACATACTTCTCTGACACTCCAGATTTCCTTATGTAATACCACACCTCCTCCCTTGGCACCCTGTCATATGCTTTATCTACATCCTCAAAGCACCAATGCCATCTGTGGTGCACTTTCTTGGCATGAAACCATAGTGTTGCTCACAAATATTCACTAAGTCTTGCTCCCACAACTCTCTCCCAGGTTTTCATTGTGTAACTCAGCAACATAATTCCCCTGTGGTTGCTACAACTCTGTACATGACCCTAAAATGGCAACCAGCACACTTATCCTCCATTCCTCAGGCATGTTACCACCCTCACTATCTTTCCCTCTTCCTGGTCCACAGTTTCTATGACCTCTACTCTTTTTTTTTCTTTTTAATTCTCTTCATTCATTACCTCTTCAAAGTACTCCTTCCATCTTCCCATCACACTCATTAGAAAATTCCATTTTCTATTTTTAACAAGTCCAACCTGCTGCACATCCTTTCCAGCCTGATCCCTCATTCTCATCAGTCAATACAAGACCTTCTCTCCCTCCTTAGTGTCCAGCCTCTTGTACAACTCATAATACACCTTTTGCTTTAAAAAAATCAGTAAAGCTTTGACATTTTCTTTACATAATAAATTATGATTTTAAGAAACTTCAGTATAACATCACTAAATACTTTTCTTTTCTATCTTTTATACCCTTCTCAGTTTTTTGCATCTCTGACCACACTGTGCTACTCAGCAAGCAGCTACCTAAGCTACCAAGCCTGGAGAACCTCAGGGGAAGAGAACTAGAGTCACCTCCTCTTTGATCAGCTGGAACTTTTTGTGCATCTAAAGTAAATAAAGAGGCAGAGGAAGATAAAATATATATATATATATATATATATATTTTATCTTCC